ACTTCATACTTCTGGTGCAAGTTTATTAACCTAATTCTTATATCCTCCATTTGTTCTTACTCATCAAATCTCCATTTTATTTGAAAATGTTGTGAGTTCACGTTCAACTACCCTTCTTTCGCTAGCTTATAAAGATCAACAAATCTCCATTTTATTTGAGGATGCATGTCATACAGAGGAAGATATTTGAAAGGGAGCTATTACTTTCAGTAAGAAAAAGTCATTCTGCACTGATCTTTAGTGAATAAAATAAAAGAGAAATGAACGTCGAATGACTATTTTAGAGTGTTAGTAATTAGGGGTGGGTTCAAAAAACCAAAAATCGAAAAAAACCGAAAACCAAACCGAACCGAAACCGAAAAAATCGAACCGAACGAAAAAACCGAACCAAATCGATTTTTTTTGGTTCGGTTCGGTTTTAGTGATCTAGAAACCGAACCAAACCGAACCGAATTAATTAAATTAATTTTTTTATTTAATTATTTGTTTTGGGTATTATTTTCTAAACCCAATTTGTAAGTTAAAATGTGTTAAACCCAATATGTTGCCAAACTTTAAGCTCAAAATATTAAAAAAAAAAAGGCCTATAAAAACTCTAAACCCTAACCTATTATTTATTCCCCATATAAGGTTCTGGAACCAAACCTCCTCCTGAAGTACCTACATCCATCTCCATAGCACTGTCTACTTCTGCCCTAGCTTTCTTTTCCAAATCTACTCTCATATAACATGTAACATAATCCATAAACATTTATTTCGGGTAGATTACTTGGGTAATTTGTGATGGAAAAGAATCCAACACACACTAAATAAATCCACCCACGCATTACTTTTTTACTAATCAAGTTGTCAACATCCAGTTACAAGCAAACAACCTTGATCTTTGAACAACATCATACACTTTTAACTTTTCTAAGTCATTTGTACGATTTTTGTGTTGTGAGGTTATTAGTTTGGACTTTGGAAGACTTGATTGATGATTTTAGTTCAACTTTAAATGTTTATTTTCATTGTCTTTGATTCTAGTTAGAATGCTTATGTTATGATTGTGTTGGATATGTTAAAATTTAAAATTTCAATGTTTTTCATTTTTTGAAAAAAAAAAAAAAAAAACCGAAACCGAACCGAAAAAAAACCGAACCGAAATTTCAGTTTGGTTTCAGTTTTGACAAAAAACCGAACCGATTTAAACCGAACCCACCTCTATTAGTAATAGTTCTCTTTTGTAGAAGATATTGAGAATAATAGAATTTTATGTTTAAGGTGTCGTTTTTATTGAAATATATTGAAAACATGTTGGTATATTTTGTTGGCAACAATAATATTAATATCAACACATTATCAATAATATATTAATAACGATTGCTGTATAAAGAATGAACGTCTCTCCTGTAGCCGGACTAATAGATTAATCTATGTAAGTTTATAGATATGACAATTTTAATTACTCTTAATTGTTGTAAAACTAACTTTGAGAGAAGTGTGAAAAAGAGAGGGTCGACACACAGAGAGAGAAGGCTTCAAGTGTATGACAATTATGTCTTTGCCCCTGGCCTTGTACCTTTATTTATACTATCATGATGAGCTTTCTTGCCTTACAAGTAACACAAAGTCTATGAGGATTCGATCACCAAATTCTATTGGGATTCTACTTTAAGTTTACACAATCACATCCCTAACTAAACACACGGTTTACAAAACTCCCCCTTAAGTGTGTACAACTTAAGAAGTAGTCACATCAAGTCTTTATGATTAGGAGATGACGGTTGTTGTCGTTAGTTTTTGGTAGGTACAATAATTGCTTATAACGAGTCTGTTTGTGGGGTGCATATTAGAAGAATCTCACAAAAACCTAGCTATGGTAAACCCAATAGAACAAACTCATAGTCTAAGGAGAAAAGGTGAGTTAATGCAGTATGTTGATGTTTCACATCTTCATGATGATCATTAATACACACAAGGGTACGACCAGCCCATAAGAGGTGCCTCGTTAAAACCTCATAAAGTTAGCAAAAACCCAATAGGAAAAATTGCTCATGATCGTAGGAAAAATAGCATATTAAGACCATGCAAACATGCTTCAATATACTTCCCCTAAGTTCGACAAAACTCCCTATGAGAACTATCAGTGATGCAAATCTAAAATTTTAGGCATTTCAAATTTTTGAACAAGCTTCTGAAAAGTAAACTTTGATAATAACTTCGTGAAGAGATTAGCAAGAGTGTCTTCAGATCAGATATGCTTGACTTCGATGTTCTAATGCTTTTGTTGCTAATATTGGATGTATGCCTAAAAGCAATAAAGATTAGTGGATTGCTTAAGGTAATACAAGGATTAGTCCATGATCTAATCATGGGGCAAGATCACTATAGGTAAATTACCAATTTAATCTCATTAATGAGTCCATAGATAACGGTTATATACATATGTAAGAGGTAACTTATAAGGTAAAGTTAAACAAACCCTCTTTGAATGTGTGTATCCTAAATATTGTTCATGGTCGTTCGATTATGCGAGCACTTGCTCAGTTGGATTGTTGATGGACTCGAACTGAGTTGCACGTAGACTTCAGATGAGAGGTTTACGAGTCGAACCGTGCGAGGTGGCGTTGGTCCATGTGGAGCCAAACATGTCTTTGCTTTCTAGCTTAAAGCTCTTTATGAACTAGGTCCAGGTTTGGTGAATTCACTTAGATACACTTTCCATGAATCCTAGGATCATCTTGTTGTCGGAGTTACTGGCTTCACCAGATGCTCTTGTTATGTAAACCTTGATCGCTCATGTTGTCTCTCGGAGGTCTGCAAACATGTCGGAACTTCTTGGAAAATAACTCCCACTGTTTAGATGGGCTGATTCATGTCTTCCCTTTTTGCGATCCCACATATGATTAATGGGCATGTTGTCCATGTGAATCTTCATTGTAACTTTTCTTTCCTTTAAGTATTCTCACTAGTCTTGCTGCCTTCCACCACAAAGAATTAAAAAAGAAAGAAGAAAACAACTTTCGTCTTTCCATTCACTGCCAACTTTCCATTTACTCTTCATTCTTTTTGTTTTTGCTACTGTTGTAAATCTTATCTTCTAGCTTATATAGAGGGCATATCCTTCAAATTCGTAGCTTTATTTGACGGAACAATTTTCGTTGGTCACTGGTATTTTATTATAATTCAGGCATGAAGTGTTGTGATAATGCAAAATGAATTGAAGAAACAGATTAAATTGGAATTGTGGGTCGGATAAATAATGTAGGTCAGGTGAGTTTGTTGCAGGGATGTACCTAGATACTTCAAGTCACAACGAATGGATGATGGAATGAGTCATGTCGGTTCAGAATCTATGGATCAAGAAGTGTTATTGCTTTGATGCGAGTCGGGAACATCGTCTCAGCTTGCGCGACACTTACTGGGTCCGAATAACAGTTGCTTCCTATTTTGTGCAGATCGCAGCCTTCCTATGGATTTTCCCAGCTTTGATTTTCTAAGTGTCCTAGTTGCCGCTAAGAGACCGTTGGCTATCTCTTGAATCAAATTCATGTACAATTTTATGCAAGGGATGCGATTAAATTGGTAGAAAAAGACAAATCAACTCATTTAAGTGTGATAATTTATATTATGTGTATTTGCAATGTATTAATCATGAGCTAGTCGCCGTGCAGAGGGATTGCTTCAGTTTAGCGTAGACGTCCGTTTCAATTCCCTTCGTTTGTACATGGTAGAGTGATTTGGTTAGGGGAATATGAGTTCTCTGAATGAAAGCACCAATTGTTGGAACCAAATTCGCGCACATCCATCAATTGGCAAAGTTTAATCAGACTAGCCCATGATCTCCGATGAAGGGAGAATGGGGTTGATTTGAGGGGTGTGGTTGAATCTGAATAAGACTGCTTACATATTTCCGGGAAGGAGAATCAAACCATGCATGTAGTTCTATGAAAGAATGGAAGGAACTATCCTGACGAGTAGCTTATGGCAGGGTGTTAAGGAGATGAGTTCTCCATTGACGTGTCTACGTGTACATGGCGACGTAAGAGCCTCTGCTAGGCATTGAGAGAATATGTGTGTTGTAGAGAATATCAGACTTAGGGAGAAGTAGATTTCCCCTGATAAATACCCATGGTAGTGTCTTAATAGGGATCTTGAGAGTTCTTGCAGAGAAAGCAATCTTCATCAAATCCATATTACTATTTAGGAGGAAATTTAGGATAAGATATCCAATCTTCTTAGAATCATGATCATATTACCTAATTTGACCATAATTAGGATTGCCCTTACTTGAGGGACAAGTAATATTTTTAATAGGTTTTAACCCTAACTTGCCGGACTACGCTCAATGGGCTTCGTGTATTCCGATCCTTTTTGCCATCAATCATGGATCCAGAAAATCATGGTCCCACAACAGCTCTCAGCCAAACTACCATTTCATCATCAACTTTAACAACAGGGACTGATACGGATGGAAATTGAGAAGGCGCTCAAATGGGTACTCATCACCTACGTTGGCCACAGTGATTGCCGGTTTGCCTCCAGCAACGACAACAGTGTGCTATTGAGCTACTTGTGATGATGATGGCGGGTGCCTTGTGATTAGCAACTACTGGTGCTACTGGTGATGATGATGGCGATTGGGTCCAAATTTGGAGGAAGTGTGGGTTGCATAAAGATTGGGAGAAAAGGAGAGACAAAAGGAGGGGAGAAGCTTCGATGGCAAGGAAAAGGTGAAAAAGATAAAAATAATATCAAACTAATATTACAGTTTTATTAATTTTTTTAATAAAAAATATCTGAACAATTTATTTTAGGGTTTGTAAATGCATTTGATCAATTACGGCTCATGATCGTGATAATTACCTATTACCTGATTGTCTGGCAATTATCGGGTAAGGGGGTGGACTTGCCATCATGGGTAACACTAGCATTTCCGAACCCTCTGTCCTCTAATTAGAATCCACGTGGCAAAACCATAAAGAAAGACCTCCAGTTCATCCACATTTTTTCTGCATCGTGTCCTCCCTAATTTCAGAGAATATTTTCCCCTCCGCGCCTCCACCACCTCTCTCTCCCTCTCCCTCTCTAGACATTTTCCTTCGAACCAAACAGCCCAAATTTTTGCCGGAAAATTCCAAAAATGGACTCGACGCCAATTAACTGGGAAGCCCTAGACGCTCTCATCATCGATTTCGCCAAATCGGAGAAGCTAGTCGAAGACTCCTCCTCCACTTTTACGACGTCGTCTTCCCCGCCCTCTTCCCCTTCGTCTTCCTCTTCCCCCTCCTCTATCTCCTCCTCGTCGTACCACTCGAGATTGATCATTCGTCAGATCAGACGGTCTTTGGAGGCCGGTCACATTGACGCCGCCATCGGTCTCCTCCGCTCCCACGCCCCTTTCATTCTCGACGATCACAGGCTCCTCTTCCGCTTACAGAAACAGGTACTCCAGCTGTTTGGCTGCCGAGAAAACGCTGGAAAGTGTTGTCAATTGCAATTTCTAGGGTTTAATTTGTGGAATTATTAACATTTGGCTATTTCTTTTGAAGAGGTTTATTGAGCTATTGAGGAGAGGGACCGCAGAGGATCGTGATTCTGCAATCAATTGCTTGAGGAATTCTCTTGCTCCGTGTGCCCTCGACGCTTATCCGGTACTTAAAAACTTAGTTCTTTCTTCTTTGTATTGATGCTTGTATGGTTTGTTGCTTTCATTAAGCTTGTATTGGAATTTATTACTAGAGACTAGAGGGGTTAGCTATAGCTCTATATAACGTTTATCTCAAAATTTAGCAATTATAGAAACTGGGCTTGTGCTGTTTTACTAAATGTTTGACGCCTGTTGCTTATGTCGGTTTGATTATGGATTCTGATGGATGGTTTTATTGCATTTTAAGGAAGCTTATGAGGAATTCAAGCATGTACTGCTTGCTTTTATATATGACAAAGAAGACCAATCTTCTCCGGTAGCAACTGAGGTGTGATACTATTTGTAATGTATACGCACCTGTGAGCAAAGATTATTTTTTAATTTACTCCCATACCATACATTTAGACTAAGGGTAAAAGGGGTGTTTGCATTATGCTTTTCAGTGGTCTGAAAAGAGGAGGTTTGACATTGCCGGATTAGTTTCCACTGTCTTGAGAGCTTATTTACATGCTTATGATCCAATCTTCTCGATGACCTTGAGATATTTGATAAGGTGTTGCCTCTTTGACTTTGGTTTAGTTACTTGCTATAAATATTATTATGTTCATTGGGTGTGGGTGATTGAGTGCCTGTGTGTGGGGATGCAGCACAGGCATTAGATTCATTGTTGTTGTCTTTTAAAGTTATTCCTGTCTTATGCAGCATCCACAAGGGATTTTGTTTTCGTCAAGGAATTTCGTCGCCTATTTCAGATCTTACACATAGATTACTTCTTGAGGAGCGTGACCCCCCTGCAACACCTCAGGAGAGCTTGTTTGAAGCACCTCCATTTGATGAGGTGAGATTATCTAAAATGCGAACATTTTTCATAGACATTACAGGAGGTAAAAATTGAATTATCATATAGGTCAGCATCTTGCGGGTGATACATATATCCACATATTTTTTCTTATCTTCATGTGTTTGACAATTAAGTACTAAAACCATCAATTACACTACTAACCATGTCTTTATATAATCATGTTTGTATTGGAAAACCAGGTTGATATACAAGCCCTTGCACATGCTGTAGAGCTCACGAGACAGGGAGCTGTAGATAGTTTGAGATTTGCTAAGGGTGATTTATTTCAGGCGTTTCAGGTTAATAATTACATATGATGTACTTATTATTATAATTACCTCAAATTTGTTTTTAATTTTTAATTTTATTACATCATTTATTCACAATTCGTGGGAAAGTGGCCATGCATGCAGGCTTTTTCTTTTGCCACCCTGATTCATAGCTCTTAATTTTCATGCAAGACATACATTCATACATACTAGTAAAAGAACAAGAAGCATACTGTTAGTTGTTTGGATGAATGAAAAATGCATATTTAAAGAGTAGGGACTGATCTGATTTTAAAATATAGAAGTTATAGTACTGTTACTCGACTACTTTTTACCCAACCCTAGAAACATGATTTTGGCTTTGTTATGCTTGCATGCTAGTGCTTTCCTGGGAGAATGCACCTAATGATGCCAATGCACATTATCTTCCTGCTCATTTATCATGTAACTTGTTTAAGAGGTTCATTGAACTGTTATAAATGGTTGGCTTAGATATTTTTGAGTCCACTAACATTAAAACTTCTGCTTATACTGCAGAATGAATTATGCAGAATGAGATTTGATGTTGCCATGCTTGACGAGCTGGTGCATGAGTATTGTGTTTACAGGGGCATTGTGGATTCTGGTTTTGCAACTTCTTCTGGTGAAACTTGTGAACTTTTTCTTTCTTCCTTATTTCTAATGTTTTGTTGAGTGAGCCTGTGAGCTTGTTTTTTTTATTTTATTTTAATTATTATTATTTTTTATATTTTAACTTGTCAGACTCTGACTACTACTGATCTACTTATCCAATGCAGTGTCTGGGGTGCAAAGCCTTTCCAAATCTTTGAAAGTTGATCAACCGGTGATTGGGCATTCTCCGTCAAGAGACTGTTCTCATGAGGTCGATTATGGAGCCAGCAAACATTCTGATGGTGAGATTTCCGTTAGTAATGATAATCTAGGTGGTTCCCCCGGAAAGAATTCTGATGTGACGAGCATGCAAGGAATGGATATTGAAATGCGTTACGTTTGTGAGCCATCGAGCACTAATGAAGATTGTAGCACCAGTGGATCACATCAGCCTGATAAACTCAGAGTTTTACAAAGAAGACCCAGCGCACCTGCAGAAAGAAGTAAACGCAAGCGATGGAGGGGAAGACAAGATGATCTTGATTTTACTCCTGGCATTTCCTGTAAGGAGATGAGTAAAGACTCTAAAGAGCTTAGCACAATTGACCCGGTTTCTGATACGTATTCATCAAGGGAACAGCAGGTTCTGTATTGTTCGAATTATTTGTCATGTAGTAGTGGTAGTATTGGTTGTTATTTGACAATGTGTTGCTCTGCAGGCTTCAGAATGCTTAAGTTTAGGCCTTGACAACGTGGAGGACAAGTATGAGATTGTGATTGGGATGAAGGAACTAGCTAGCAAAGGAATGGCTGCGGAGGTCGTGGAAGTAGTTAATTCTATGGACCCAAATTTTTTTGTACAAAATCCTGTTTTACTCTTCCAACTTAAGCAGGTACTTAGCTCATGTATTGTAAATAGCTTGAAGTAATTGTTTTTAAATCATACTATAATATACAAAATTTTACATTCTGATAATTTCACAAACTGTAGGTTGAATTCCTTAAGCTTGTCAGCTCAGGTGATCATTCTAGTGCTCTGAGGGTTGCATGCTCTCATTTAGGTCCTTTAGCTGCAAGTGATCCAGTTTTACTGAAGCCCTTGAAGGAGACTCTGTTAGCACTGCTCCAACCTAATGAAGATGCACTTGGGAAAGGCTTGCCCTTACATGCTCTTGCAACTTCACTCCAGGTATGCCATGACTTGCTGTCATACTAAAATTAATAGGAACTGCCGATGCTTAACATAACCACCATTAAATCGTTTTTCTATCTGGATATGAGTCTTAAATGTGATTTATACAATGTACCATGCCATAAGTGCGAACTAAACATTTGCTTCTGTCTGTGATAGGTTGCAATTGGTAGGAGGCTTGGCATTGACGAGCCCCAGCTTATGAAAATAATGAGAGCAACCCTTCACACCCATAATGAGTGGTTTAAACTTCAAATGTGTAAAGACCACTTCGAAAGCCTATTAAAGATTGATTCCTTGAAAGAAGTTAATACTCCTTCGCTTGCTGCTGCCGCTGCTTCTAAGTCAAATGCAGATAGTTGCTCTAATGGGTCTTCCCAAGTAACAGTATCTTCAAGCACGAGGATGGTGGAAGATGGTAGCAGCCTGACTCAAGTGTCGTCTAGAGATGTTGTGTGTGATGAAACTGCCATACTAAAAGTAATGGTGAGTTTTATGAACTGAACTTGCATATCTATATCTTTCTAAATTGTTCCATGTGGAAGCATATTCAATTATTTGTAGTGAATTTTCCCTTTCGACGAATGCGACAGTTTCACTTGGCCTCGTCAAAAATAAACATGTGCACTTTATGGTCATTAGCATGTTCAGTCAGCCGTACGGCATAAGATTTCTTTTAATCCAATTCGACTATTTGCACTTGTATAAATATAATTTGACTGCAACTAGACAATGATATTTGTCTGTTTTAATATAAACCACATCTTCTAAGTTCAAACACTGGTTCGTTCACTTCAACTAATCTCACTGTGTGGGTGGTTGCAGGAATTCTAGCTTTGCCCAGGGCCGATGCTATCCATCTTCTTGCACAATACAACGGAAATGCCGAGACCGTCATTCAACAGATATTCGCGTAGTTTGTATTGTAGCCGGTTTTGCAGCTACGTATAATTAATTTTTGCTTATTATTTGATTCAATTTGTGCATAGAGTTTCTAATTTAGGTAGACACATACGCGTAGTTGTTGAAACAGAGTAGCATTTATTGTTAACACTTACACAGGCTGTTCTTGTACATTATTAAAACACTTGGTTGATCTAAAGAGGAAGAGGTGCTTGTTGGATGGTTGGATTGATTTTATTTCATGGAGTTTTTTCTCTATTTTATTGTTTGTAAGTTTTGAGGTACGTAGATGCGCAGGAAAGGGAAAGGTCTTGTTTTCAGAATTTTCTATGGTGCCTTGTTGTCTCGGGTATTCTGGACGTTTTAATCGTCACATCTTTGGTCAAAATCATAAAACTAATATCTAACAGTGAAAATATCTGGAATATTTTATACTCAGGCACAATAAAATTTTCGCTTGTTTTTTATTTTTTGTCGTGTCCGGAAAAGATCAGTATTATGAAATTTCACTAAAACAAATAGCTAAAATACAATTATCTTCCATCCAGTGAAGACACAATTGGAACCTCAAACCTTGTTTATGTGATATAGGCTGCTGTGGTGATTATTATTCTGAAATACCAAATATTTTCAGGAAATATAATTCCAATTGGAATATACAGTTTACTTTGGTGATTTTAACTTCGGAAGTTTCTTTATGATAATGAATCCATGACTTAAAAATTAAGTAAAAATATTGGATTCTACTTAGCTGACAACAAATAAAGTCGGTGAGAAAAACACTTAAAAGAATCAAATTATAGAAAAGGCAGGCATCACACCAAGGTATTTTATTTTTCATTTTTGAAACGGGGCTAATATTTGCAATTGCGAAATAGAATTTTAAGGTGCTTATTTGCGAAATTTTGGTTCACAGGAAAGTTTGATCATAAAGCCTCCCAAGAAATCTCCTTTGTTATCGAGGATGACAGTCCTAGTGTTTGAGATGGTATTCGGCGTTTATATCTGCTCAATGTCTTAAACTCTAAAGCAGATAAGTATCCGAACCATGACTATATTTCAAAGCATCAAAGTCATCGAAAGGCCTTTGCACGACATCAAACTACTAGAAATGCCCAAAACTTTTAGCAGGTAATTGAAATCTAGTACCCTTTAGATTTGAATTCTTTTTGGATAAGAGCATCTTCAGCAATGCCCAAGAGATCTCCTCTGTTAAGTATCTGTTTTGGTCTATTTGTAGGGCCAAATGTGCACGCAATCCTGTAATATTCTTTGCAATCTTGTCGATGCAGAGATCGGTGAGTGGAAGGTTTGAGAGCTTGTTAAATAGTCGTAAAATGTTAGCTCTAACGAGGAGATATTCTCGGTTAGGCAAAGGAGGGAAAATATTTCTTCAATACAGACTCTGAAAATAAGTGCTGCAAAACAGATTGAAATGAGGTGTTGTCTCGGGTGTAAATGGCTTCAAAGATTTGATAGGTGGGCTGAGATTGCTTTGGAAGGCATCGGAGGAAGTCAGAGAGAATTAGATCTGCAGTTGCCCGCGGTAGTATAAGGGAAAAGACTGAGAGGATGGAGATTAGTACTGCAATACGGCTTTGTATAGTCTTCATTGTATGGTTGCAATTGTACTTCATGTTTTCTTTTATTGACTTTGTGGTATTTATATTGAAACCATGGAAGGACGAGGAGTAGTGTAAAGCTGGGTAAATTCATTTTTTTTATGGTACATATCTCCAACACATTTAATTTTCGGTCAAAATCAACGCACTAATTGGTAAACTCATTTTTTTTATGGTACATATCTCCAACACATTTAATTTACGGTCAAAATCAACGCACTAATTAAAGGATCCCTAATTAAACAATCGTTATTGCACCCAAGGTTTCGAGTAAAATCTGGTGTTTATATCAAGTATTTACTTCCCTTCCAAATACATGAATGTGAATTTGACATTCTACGTGTCAAAATGTTATGTATTCAATTGAGAATTTAAAATATTTTAATGGATTTATAAATCTATGAATTTTTATGAAGTTTAATTGATTTGTAGAGATTTCATATAAAATTTTGATTCAATTCCTTCGAAATCTCATGAGTGTAAACCATTGTGTATGTTGATGAAGAAAGAATATGCAGGAAGAAAGACAGAGAGAAATGTAGAAGAATAAGAGAGTAAGAGAGTTTAGAGAGTAGAGAGAGAATCAAGAATTGTATTTTCTTTCTAGTTAGTTACAACTGACTATTACAACATGTATTTATTTGTATTGGTAGCTTACACTCTAAGCCACACAATAACCACCTTAACTAACTCTTATATCACAGCTATAGAATCTTAGTACACCTATCATCCCCCCTCAAGCTCAGGGGCAGAGAAATTGAGCATGAGATTGGCACAATGAGTCTGAAAGAGTGGTGCAGAAAGACCCTTGGTGAGGATATCTGCAAACTGCTCAGTAGACGATACAAACTGAACATGTAGTTGCTGTTTTGCGACCCTTTCTCGAACAAAATGGACATCAACCTCAATATGTTTCGTACGTTGATGTTGAATTGGATTGCAAGTCAGTGCAATTGCAGACAGGTTGTCACATAAAAGTAATGGGGGCTCGGCCAAAGGAATCTGCAAGAACGACAACAGAGATTTAATCCAATCCAATTCAGCCGCTGTAGTAGAGAGAGCTCGATATTCAGCCTCAGTTGATGAGCGAGAGACAGTGTGTGTTGTTTCTTAGACATTCATGAAATGGGATTAGACCCCAAGAACACCACCATTCCAGTTGTGGACCGTCTATCATTCGGATCACCCGCCCAGTCTGCATCACTATAGGCAGTAAGATCAAGGGAACCTCGGATATACTGAATACCACAGCCTCGAGTAGCCTTTAAGTACCTAAGAATCCGTTTGACAGCCATAAAGTGGGAGTCCATTGGTCGCTGCATAAACTGGCAGACCTGATGCACTGCGAAAGCAATGTCAGGCCGCGTAAAAGTCAAGTACTGGAGAGCACCAACCAAGCTCCTGTACATTGTAGGATTATTATAAGGCTTGCCATCATTGCTGAGAAGACGGTTGTAAGGCAAACATGGAGTAGCACACGGTTTGGACAGTAGCATATCAGATTTAGTAAGCAGATCCGTAACATACTTGTCTTTAGAGAGAAACAAACCATTCTTGTTCTGTACAATTTGAATGCCTAGAAAATAATGAAGAGGTCCCAAGTCTTTCATATCAAACTCATGAGTAAGAGCTTGAATAACCTCAGTGATAGCTTGTGGATGGCTGCCTGTGATGATAATATCATCAACATACAACAACAGAATCACCACATATGTGTCAACAGTTTTTACAAATAAAGATGAATCTGCAAATGTAGACTTGAACCCTAAGGAAGGTAGAAAAGTAGTGAACCTTTCATTCCAGGCCCGTGGTGCCTGTTTCAACCCATAAAGCGATTTATGTAATCGACAAACATAATCTTCATGTTTAAGATCAACAAACCCAGGTGGCTGTGTCATGTAGACCTCTTCTTGTAATATGCCATGGAGGAAGGCATTTTTCACATCTAATTGTCTCAATGTCCAACCAAAGTTTGCTGATAAAGCTAGAACGATTCTCACTGTTGTAGGTTTAACAACAGGGCTAAAAGTCTCTCCATAATCGATTCCTTCTTCTTGATTAAAGCCTTTTGCCACCAGCCGTGCCTTATACCTCCCAATTGAGCCATCAGCATTCTTTTTTATCTTATATACCCATTTACACCCGATTAAATTCTTGTGACGGGGCAATGGAACCAATGACCATGTTCCCTGATTATGCAAAGCCAATATCTCATCTTGCATAGCATTAAACCAAACTGGGGATTTCAACGCAGACTTATATGTTGCAGGTTCCACTTGTGTCAAATCAACCCCCCCATGTTCATGAACCTGAGCAAGTAAAGCAAGCTTCTTAATAATACCACTTTTGGATCGTGTCTGCATAGGATGGAAGTTCACTGGGGGAACAGAGAGAACCACTTGGAGCTGCTCAGGTTGGAATTCAGGTACCACAGGAGGTGCAGGGGAGAAGGGCTGTGTAGTTGGAGAAGTAATGGAGTGAGTAGCAGTTGAATTTCCTGCACTGTCAGGTGAACCTGTAACTGGAACCGTAGTGGAGGCTGCTAAAAGTTGCTGGAGTACCAGATTTGGCATGCCACTAGAGATAGAATCTGAGCTTAATGATGCAGGACACTCAGTGTAGGGATTAAGTGACTCGGGTAACACAAGTACATTACTATGATTGGGAACTGGAATTGGTGTTTGAGAATGTGATGGAGGTGGTGAAATAGTGGTCCAGTGAGATTTAGAGACCAAAGAACGATAAGGAAACTCTGTCTCATCAAATAAAACATGTCTAGAAATATACATTTTGTTTTTAGAAGCATCATAACAAAGATAGCCTTTATAGTTAGATGCATATCCCAAAAAGATACATTTTGCAGTGCGGGGATCTAACTTGGTATGAGTATAAGGCCTTAACCAAGGATAACAAGAAACAGCCAAATATTTTCAGATGTGTTATACTGGTATGGAATTGTGCAGCAATTGAAATGGAGATAAATTTCCCAAGGAAGAAGATGGCATTCTATTAATGAGGTACATTGAGGTTTTGCAGGCAAAAGACCAAAACACTGAGGGTAAGGAAGCAGACTGTAGCAAAGCAATGGAAGTTTCAATAATATGCCTGTGTTTTCGTTCAGCTATTCTATTCTGTTCGGGTGTGTAAGGACAGGAAAGTTGGTGCTTAATTCCTTTATCAGACAAAAACTGTTGAAATGCTTTGTTTATGTATTCACCACCACCATCACTGTGAAGAGTTTTAATGGCTACTTGAAACTGATTTAAGATGAAATTGTATAAAGAAACAAATATACCCGAAACATCATTTTTATTGCACATGGGAAAAATCCAGCAATATTTTGTACAATGGTCAATGAAAGTGACATAATATCTAAATCCATCTAGAGACACACAAGGAGCAGGACCCCACACATCACTGTGAACAAGATCAAAAGGTTTTACAGATTTATCTACGGAGGAAGGAAATGGGAGTTTACTGAATTTGCCCTCTAAACATGGGTGACACAGTGAAGGTGTTTGATCAGCAACACAAGGAACATGTGAGGATTCTAAAATGCGGGAAACAATTGAATTAGAGGGATGACCTAATCTCTTATGCCAAATACTGGTAGTAACTTGTTGTCCCAGAAAAGCT